TGTTCATTTTTCCACAATGTTTTTTTCTGTGGTTTTCTGCTGTGCCAAACAGCAATTTGGGGGTTGGCAAACAATGGCTCAGCTGCACTGAAAGACAAAAACAAAATGGAAATTTGAAAGCAAGCCACTCTGCAAGATAAAAAGGCCATTGGGGTGACTCAATATGCTAGAGCTCTTGCACAGAATTCCTGTGGCCGCTGATGCTGCTGATCAATACTTGGTGCTGCTAGTTGGGTCACAAATTGTAACCTCAACAATTAATAGTAACTTTCTCAAGCTCACTGTGCAAGACACGGGGGGCGGGGGGGGAGCACGTTCTCACTGTGCCTAATACCTCAGGGAAAGGACGGGAGAGAAATGGAGTGAGGAATTTAGTGCAATAAAGCTTTGTGCAGCTAGCATATGTTGGTGGATCAATGTCAGTATTAGCAGGGTGCTTCACTATGGGGAATCTTCTGAATTGCAGATTTGTGTCCAAATATGGGTTGCCTGGGTCATCAATAACAAGACTCACCCAAAAGGGGAAGAATGATCGTCTGTGGGGGAAACAGGCATGGATTATAAAATCAATGAGGGTTCATGGCAATGGTTTCTTTCATAGTGTGTTAGAACATTAACTGCACAAGCATAATACATTGGCACCGTCATTTCTGTGGGTTTCCTCTTCCCTAGGTAAATGTCCACCACTACCAGTCCATAATTACCCAAATATTTATTGAACCTTTTGCTTCCTCCAATGTTTGGCTGCTCTGGATAACAACCTGTCCTGCCTGTGTCATAGGAGCAAACTTCTGCAAGCATCTTTTCCAAATTGGAGTTCATTTTGTATCTCCATCAGAAAATAAAATAAGCAGCCCTCACATATGCAGTCCTTCCAGAAGAGAATACTGATGCCATTTCATGCACTCTTTCTTGCTAACAGACCTTGAAAACTTCAAGACAAGAACAAGAAGTACAGTGTCAGTCCGACAGGGTCAGGGAATGGTTCTGCTGTGTGGACCACCACCGCATTCTGGAGGTAAATCATATTAATAAATCCATTTTCAGTATTCAGTGACAATTTGCAGGTTTCTCCATCTCTTGCTCTAGTACCTTGTTTCAAAGAGTTCTTAAAGTTTCCATCCAGAGAAGAAGCAGGTGATAGTTTTGGATTGAGAGAATGATCCTTGCTGGACATACAGATGCTTTGGTAAATCTTCATACAACTTGGTTTGATAAACCCAGACAAAGAACTAAATTACGTCATTTAAATGCATGCACGTAGAAGACGAAATTAGTGCAGAGTATGCCAAAGTGGAGCAGATGCACCTCATTACATGGAGTTCATGGAAGCCTGTCTATTTATGCTTTGCATGTTTGATCTTTCGCAAGTTTTCAGCTGGCAGGGAAGATCAGGAAAGAGGATGGCTTACATGTTGAGCCTTTTTCCATTGCAATATTATTTCGTTCACAATGGTAAATTTCACCCTCAGGGCAGAGAACTTATATCCTGTACACCAAGCTTAGCCCTGAGGTACACATCAACTATGAAAACTATAACAATTACTTTACTACACTGTTGCTTTAAAGTGGTATGGTAAAAAAATAGAAAATGTAAAGCAATTGTTTTCAATTAAAATGGTATAAAGATTTCTCATTTAACCTATGTAGATATGTGATGAGTCGTGCCAAAACTAGCTTGGTTGGCTGGGTGTTTTAAATGTGTATTTTCTATGCTGCGATTCTCACAAATCAGGCATTGGAAAGATAATTAGTTAGCTGTCTATTATATCGATTGATTGATATTGGACTTGATTGCAAGCAGTGCATTGTGTGCCCAACAGTCAATGAAGTGTATTATACAACTTCTGTGTATTGGCACTAATCACTGTCATCAACAACCATTTTGGCTGGATATACAGCCAAATGATGTTTACAGTAATCCACATATAATTTTCAGGTAATTTCTCTCTCTCTTCCCCCCCCCTTTTTTTTAATTGTAATCATGTTTGTACTTACTGAACCCATTTGATTTTGACCAGCTGTCAGGAATTTTGTCGGGTCTGCCAGACTTCTTTGGCCCCTGGGCTTCACAGGCCTCAACTAGACTGCTACTCGAAACAAACAGAATTTTAAAAGAATGGTTTGGAAGGCCTATGGGTCTGATATAATGAACTGCAGGATATGCTACTGCTTGCAAATCAAGAGAGCTTTTAATTCTGAATATCATCTGTAAGTTTTGACCAATCTTCTTGAATCAGGAAATCCCATTCACCCCCTATTGAGCATAGTAGTTATGACACCAATGACATTGTTCTGCATTTTAAGTTCGGAAGATTTTCTTCACCAAGTTGCATTCATTACCATCACTGTATAGGGAAAGGGGAATGCCACAATGAGGATATCCTTTTGCTGATGGGTTGTTGTTGTTTTTAAGGTTTTCCTTCAGTTTAAAATATTGTTATCAGACTTACAACTTCTGGAATTTCTGTGGAAATATCCATTACAAGGACATGGTTGTTTCATTTGCAATATAAAGCACTTTGTTCCTACTTAAAGGTTAAATTTGGGACCTACCTACACCTAGATTGTGTCCTAATGGGGCATCTGCATTTATTAACTGCAAAAAAATCTAGCATATAATAGAACGGCTGAATCCCATCAACTCATGTAATCATAGAATCACAGAACTGGATGGAACCTCGAGGGGTCATCAAGTCTAGTCCCCTGCCCTCACAGCAGGACCGAGCACCATCTAATCTTCCAGCCTAAGGTTTTATACAGATCCCAGTGCATGTCAGATTACCCAGTTTTTCCAGTAGAGGTGAGGGGGCCAGCAAAGATCCAATTAAGCTTGCAATTTTAAGGCAGAGGGACTGGCACTGGAGGGTGCTGCGAGGAAAAAGACCCAGAGGTTGTAGTGGCTGACATGTGAAAAGTCAGAAGTGTGAGAAGTTGAAGAGTCAGGTAGGCATTTGTCCGTAAAACATGCTCTGAGCTGAATCCTGTTACCCGTCATGCCCAGATACTCAAAGCCTCCATCACCTGCCACGCACTACCAACTGCTTCAGTTTTTTCTCTCTCCCTCTCCCACCACAGCTTTAAAGAGGTTTGTCTCCTTCCCTGTGACAAGTTTCCTGACTTGATTTCCCCAGTGTCAGGCTGCATATTTCCTACCCCTCTGATCGGTCCCCTTTACTTTGAATTTAGTTCTTGACAATGTGACATAATCATTTTACTCCTTTTTTATTGTTGTTGCCTCCCAGGTGCTCAGAAGTCTGTTCATCTTGTGTTCATACCGCAGTCTTGGGAGGAGTTTTTTGTTTTCTTTATTTTGATGAGGGTTAAGGGGGTCTTTCCCTTCTGGACTGTTTTAGTGTTATGATTATGTTTATTACCGTACTGAAACCAAAGATGTGCTGAACTTTGCAGGAGGCTGATACTTGATCTGCATTCAAATCTCTGTTTTTGAATAGAGGAATGGGATTTAAACATATCTCCTGAGATACTAATAATGATAACATGTCTATTATAATCATACCAGTAATGCTGAACCTGTTGCTTTGCAAAAATGCTAAACCAACATTACTCTAATGCTTAAAATTGTCTTCTTAAAGATACAGGCTTCAGATAGTTTCAAGCTGTATGTGTGTAAGTGTGTCTAACCTTTCATTTATAATAAGTTCACCATCAGAGTCTAGGCATTTCTCACCAAAAATAAGAAAAAACCTATTACTGTCTAAAGGCACCATATTTCCTCATCACACCCTAGTTTTTCTTCTCCCTCCTCTATTTCTACCTTACTTTGTGAGCTGTCTGCAGTTAGTTTCTGTGGCTGTATATTGGTTACCTTGGAAACTGCTGTAGTCTGGAATATGAAAATGCTACTGGACTGAGTGTCAGAATGGTGGCCTGTGTTTCAAGTGATGCATGAGTGCATGTAAAACCAGGACAATTTTATTATAATTTGTAACATAAAATATTGTTACACTCTTGTGCCAAATCCATCCTTGGTAACTATGTTGGTGAATTTGGCCCTCTGTTTGTTGCAGGCTATCAGTGCCAGTTAAACCAAAATGTACACGCCTAGAATCAGTGATACTTTTCCTGCATACTTCTAAAACACATGTTCCCACAAAACCAGCTCTAACCATATTAGGCTCTCTCCTAACATCATCAGCCCTCACAAATTATCACCCATCCCTACCCTGACGCTGTCATCACCAAGTAAAGGAGCTGCCATTTCTCAGTTGGGGCAGGAAATGGGGAAACTTCTAAACAACAAATAAGACATAAATCATGTTATCTAGAATGACTCTCTCTCACACCCAAGAATTAATTTAGCTGCCTTAGAAACAAACCATCCTCCTCCTATGCTAACCTTGATGAGCCCCGCCTCACCCTTATAGAGGAGTGATATATATATAACAAAAACTCTTCTGCCATGAAAATTAAATGTGTAGCTTAATTTAGTGCGAGCAGTGAGAAGGCCAGGGGAATTCCAGATTCTGTGCTGAGTTGTTTTTTTGATTTGGTTTGGGGTTTTTTTGCTGTGAGGAATTTTTTGCTATTTTGCAAATAAAATGGCTGAAATGCAGATTGAACTATGTGTAAGTGACTCAGAAAGACCTTTTGAATGTAAATGTATTCGGTGATGACAGTAATGCTCTAAAGAGGTGATAAAGCTATTTCCCATTACTCTGGTATGAATATATACAGCATGTAAGGAGAGGCATGTCATGGTGACTGTGAGATAAGCACATTCACTTCTAGAGCCCAGCAAGGCAGAAGACAGAGAATATTATTACTAGATCCAGAGTTAGTGTAAATTGGCCCAACTCCAGTATAGTCAGTAGGGCTGTGCCAGTCTACAGAAGCTGAGGTTCTAAACCATTTTCAATGAGAAGACATTTTATGAAAGGTGAAGTAATGCCAGCCTATTGTGACCTAGATCCTGATAATCTCACTTGCTCTGCATGTTTGTTTTTTAAACAGGACCTAATTTGTATGTAATATAATTCACCCTGCTCAGCAGGGAATAATCTGAAGAAATGGTGGAATTTTTAGTCTCCAGAGCTAAGGTGGTTATTTCCCAATTGTGTAGATTACATTTCAGTTAACCAACTAGCTTGCTCACAATATTCATTAGAAACCATTTGCTAATGATTACTGAACACTAACTGCAGATACTTCCCTTTCCCACTGTGAGATGGGCATACAAATATCTGGTGTTTCTGGCAGGTACTCTTTCTAGGGAAATTCCAAAACACTAGGGATAAGTCTACACTGCATCCCTCTTTCGAGAGAGGAATGCAAATGCAGACAAGCGAAATTGCAAATGAAGCGAGGATTTGAATATCCCATGTTTCATTTGCATAATTGCGTCCAGATGCTATTTCGAAATACCCTATTTCAAGATAAAAAATGTCGTGTAGATGCGGTTATTTTGAAAGAAACCCCTTCTTTCGAAATAACCCTTACTCCTTAAAAAATGAGTTTTGACGGTTCATTGCAATTTCGCTGTCTGCATTTGCATTCCTCTCTCGAAAGAGGGATGCAGTGTAGACTTATCCCTAGTGTTTTGTTAGTGGAAAACTATAACAGCTTCCATCCCATGGGTATCCTAAAGTAATTTTTACAGACTAAAACTGTCGCGGTCACTTCGTCCAACGCTGTTGTTCTGCCATCTCTGGAATGTAACGCAGCAACTGTTAAATGCTTTCCTACAGTAATACACAGCCGTTTTAGGCTAGACATGAAGAATACTGTATGTAATTGAAAATACAAGAGCAATTTAGATAGAGAAAATACAATTATCTGATTTAGAATTTGATTAGGACATTGTGCTGAATGCCATCTCCTGGCAGATAGTGCCAAGGGACCTTAAATTACTTACTGAGGACTAGGGATGGCCAGAAAAACAAAAAATCTGTTTCAGGAAAAATCTAAGGTGTCAACATTTGTTTTTCTTCCACATCTAGATCTAGACATTTTGAATTTTTTCTCACAAAGCCCACAAGAGAGACAGACACCACCCTC